TTGTCCCAATTTTTGGACTAGATGGTCTCTAGAGATCCCTTCCAGCTCTGACAATTTATGTGATTCTGTGAGGAGCAGGTGAAACAAACAGATCAGCTGGAAGCTGCTGCTCAGGAATACCCGAAATGCCCCCTGACATGCTCCTCTACCCCTGAAGCTTTTCCCTGGAGCAGGGCAAGACAGGACAGCTGTGCCCAGGCCCTGTCCCTTTCGTGCCAGACCCAGCACCCACAGCACTGCCCCTACTTACCCTTGCAGAGCTCCCTTGGCTTTTCTGATCTTTGGTCCCTCAGGTGCCACCGTGCAATGCCAAGTCCACCTGCATGGGCAGGGGGGAGGCACAGAGCCTCTGGCTGCCCCTCTGGGGCTCTGGCAACCCCAGAGCTGGCCTCAGTTGCCAGGGCAGCTGTGAGAACTTGGTGCAGGCTGACAGAAGAGGGACCCTGAGGGGGAGCCCAGGCTCACTGATGAACCTGGCAGCTGCATCTTGCAAGGTGGCCTGAGCATCCTCCAGCTAAGGCAGGCTCTGACACCTTCTCCAGGCTGTAAGGGGGAATTCCTGAGCTCAGGAACCCCAACGCACAGCATGATCCAACCTCCTCCTTGGCCTTAGCTCAGCTGCAGCTGCCACTGCTGCCTCACTGACCTTTCAACTGAGTTGTGTGGCTTTTTCTCAACTTTGGGACCTTTTTTCCTCAATTTTTAGGCATTTTCTCCCAATTTTGGGGCCTTTATCCCAATTTTGAGGTCTTTTTTCCCAGTTTTGTGGCTTTTCCTCTATTTTTGGGCCTTCTCTCCCAATTTTGGCACATTTTCTACCAATTTTAGAGCCTTTTTTTTTCAATTTCAGGGCATTTCTTCCCACATTTTTCTCCATGTTTTTGAAGGGGTGGATGGAGAGCTCTTGCACCTGGATAGACTCCTGGTAGGGAGGAGGACAGGAGGACTTCAGCAACAGCCTCTCACCAGCCACACCAATCACACTAGCTGCAACTGCCACACCAATGTAGCTCCCCAGAGAAAGGGCTGCAGAGGAGACCAGGTTGGTCTTGGGCAGTGTCTCCAAGACACACACCACCAGCCTCAGCCCCCACCAGATGCTAGGGGTAAAACTTCTGGTCCTGCCTCACAGCTTAGCTGGGGAAGCCCTTGTGGCTCTGAGAGCAGCTCTGGTGCTGCTGGAGCCTTGCATGGGGTCAGGGTGAGCCTCAGCACGAGAGCCCAGGAGAGTAGCCCTGCCCAAATGCTGCCTGCCTCGTTGGCATCTCTGTCCCATGGAGAAGAATGTTATCACCACTGCACTGCAGGAACCTCCTGGATTGTTTATGTTCAGATGTGTTGACTCTTCAGCAGATACCAAGGTGATTGAAATTCCCCATGGAGTCCAGGGCCTGAGAATGTGAAGCTGCTCCTGTCTGCTGTAAAAGGCTTGATCCTGTTGTTCTTCCTGGTCAGGCGGCCTTTAGCAGACACCCGCTATACCTGTCACCTTTACGTATCCTCTCTCTTATCCTAACCCATAAACTGTCAGCTCCACTTCCACCCCAGGCAGAGTTCCACGTGCTCCAGCTGCTCTCTCACATAAAGGGCAACCCCCACCACCACCTCCTCATCTGCCCTTGTGTACTGCCTGAAGAGCCTGTGTCACTGCAGTCATGGGAGCCATCCCACCACATCAGCGTGTATCCTAGCCCTGCAACTCCATGCACATCTCTCGTTCCTCATGTTTATTCCCCATTATCCTGCAGACTCTTCAGAGGCACATGGTCAGTTTGGGGGTTTTCTCCACCGTGATGCCTTTGGGCACTTCCTTGCTTGCAACCACAGCCAAGTTACTTCAGGGGCAGCTAGAAGCAGATGGTGAAGCCACCCAATGCTGAATGAGCTGCCTGTCATTGCAGCTACCTTAACATGAGGTGTCCAGCCTCAGCTTGTCACCTGTGCTCCCCCACCACTACCTACAAAGGACAGATGCCCCCATGGCAATGCAGCCTCCTGTGTCCCTAAGCCCCAGTGTCCTGAGGAGCAAAGCTGCCACCCATGCAGTCAGCCCACAGGCTCAGGGAACTCCTGTGGGAGGAAAGGGAGGGTCTTCAAGAAGCAGCAATGAGAATGAAGGAAAAGGTAAGAGACAATTCATGCTTGACTTGGAAGTGTGGATCTTTGCAGAACTCCTGCTTGAACCAGTATTTTATAAATAACTGGTGGAGAGAGCATCTATAAAAGATATTGTGCATTGTAGTTGTTCCTGAAAAAGATGATTCAGAACAATTCCAATGTACCACAAGTCAGTTAATAGACCATCCAAAGGGAATGGGAGATGAGGTACAAACCTTGTGGCTGAGATAACCTTCATCAGCTGTTCCCACAGTATGTCTCTCAGGACCATGGCAGAGCGGCTGCTTCTGCTGATGGCTGGACCCCATATCCATCACAGCAAGCCCAGATGTGGGACTGCCCCAGCAGCAGGATGGGGAGGGCAGGGGGAGGCAGGCGATGGGCACCTGGGTCACAGGTGGGCTCCAAGCTGGTACCAGGGGGACGGGACCCTGAGGGAGCCAGGAGAAAGCAGGGGATACAGGTGCCCCAGGCTTGCAGCACCCACAGGGGAGCTGGGTGGGGATGTGAAGTAGCCCCGTGGTGGAGGAGCCACATGGAAAGGGACCAGGGGGGAAATTCAAGGTTCCCCTTCCCAAAGGAGAGGAATAGGAGAGGCAGGTCCTTGGGAAGGCTGTTAGCACCCCTTCGATTCAATCTTGTTGGGCCGCAATTGGCAGCTTTGCATTCTCTATCCACTCCCAACATATGGGGTACTCTGCCTGTGGCTTCCCCAGTGCTAAAGCAGCCTACAGCTCCACTGCACGTGCACCCTGAGGTCCTGGGCACTTCCTCCTCCACAGGCACCCTGGTTCTCCTTTCCCAGTGCTGCAGCCCCTGGTGGGGTTGGTGGCCAAGGTGTTCCCTTTGTCCTCCCTGCCTGCCAGATCTCTGCCCACTGGCCCAGGATAGGCTCAGGACCCATTTCCCTGTAGCACATTGAAAAGAGCACAGCAGGTTCTTAATGTCTTTATTAGCTTGTTGGGTTTTCTCCAACACTGTAAATCCTCTCTACAGCAACAGGTTAGTTTAATCCGGTTTATGTTTCACCATCTGGTGTGTGCTGCGGCCTTCAGGCCACCAGGACAGAACCAGGTTGTGCTCAAACAGGAAAACGTTAAATTCCACTGTGGCCAGGAAAAAGGGAATGCCAACCAAAGTCAAAAGAACAAATCACCAGGGAAAACCAAACTGACCAACAAAACCAAGATAAGGAACTGAAGGTGAGCATAGCACTGTTTGGACAAGGATGCAAGGGGGAATGAACTGAAAAATGTCAGGGACCAGACAAACCCTTATATTATATATAGGTATTTTTATATATATCATCTGGAAGGACACTGAGAAAACGAGATTGCAGCAGTATCTACAGTAGAAAGGAGCTACGTAGCTTTCAGAGTCACACTGAGAAAGCAGCACACAGCAGAACAAAGTAGGAGACAAACGGGGACACTGGTGTTTCAGGGTGGCTATTCAATGTGGGAGGGGCTGAGTGGGGCACCCAAAGGCCCTTGTACACCTGCTGAGAGCCCTGAGGTCCCTGTGCCATTCACTGCAGAGAAGGGCCAGCATCTGGGGGGTAATTGCTTTTGAGGGAGCTCCAGTAGGTTGGTTCTGCTCACCTGCAGGGGAGCAGCCAGGGGATCCCTTACAGGTCCCTGCTCAGGTCCCCCAGACCACACACACAGACCTGAACACCCAGAGCTGGTGGCTCCATTACCTGGATGCAGCAGGAGCTGCATGCTGCTGTCCTTGGGGTGGACCAGGGATGGCAGCAGAGACTGGGTGGTGAGGACAGGGTTGTGCCATGATGTGCATCTCCATGCTGAGCACCAGGGGCTGGATCCACCTAAAGCTGGGGGCCAAATGAGGCCTTGTGGCTCAGGGGGAGCCAAGCCCTTGAGAGATGCTGGGGTTGGAGGTATGGATGTGGGGGGCCATAGTGGGGGGGCCATGGTGGGTCTCACCAGCTCTGTGGGCAAAGCCAGGCACCAGGGTGCTCCCTATGTTCCATGGATCACTCCAGACTGCCAGCACCCTGCAGGGCAGAGGGCAGCGGGGGCTCCCCAGCATTGTAGGGGGGCAATGCCTCATCTTATTGCTAACATCTCCACTGACACTCCCAGGCTGTGGCAGAACTGGATGGGGGAGTTGCTATGTGACATGTTCAAACCCAGTGGCCTCTGAGTCCTGGTGGCCTCATCCCAAGAGCTGGGAATGGAACCACCGAGAGGCAGAGGTCAAGCAAGCCATGACACATACCTCAGCATGGTTTTGGTGGCAGGTGGTGGGTGTCCTTCTTGCAACAAGGGACCAAGGAAGTGCCACCATAGGTGAGGGCTAATGAAGCAGGGCTGGGCCCTTTCCCCCTGCCCTGGGACAGCCCTCAGGGTACATGACCAGGGGAAGGGGACAGTTTGGGGTGTTTCTCACACTGCTCAGCCAGCTGTGGGGAAGCAGAAACTGGGTGTGCTGGGGGATCCAGGACAAGCTCTCTCTCGGAAAGGCTAATGGAGATAAACGGGAACTGCATCCCCATTAAGGACACGGTGACCTCCCAGTGAGTGTCACTCTGTCCCATCTTCCTTCTGGTTGGACCAGCTGTCAAGTTGACCTTGAAGGACCAACCTCTCTCCTGTGTCTTCTCCATGTTCTGCTGTCCTAAACCATCCCACCACCCAGCCCCTGCTCCCCACCCTGGATCCATGCCCATGCCACCCACCCTCCCAAGCCAGGGCCAAGCCACTGCTAGGGAGAGTGAGAACCAATGCAGAACCATGTGTGACTTCTGGGTAAAGCCAGGAGCTGGAGCCCAGAGGCAGTGAGTGAAGCAAAGCTCTTTCTCCAGTACCAGACGAGGGGATGAGGCCAACAGCAAAGATGATCCAAATCAACCCCAAAAGAGCAAGGGCCGTGGTGGACATCCACAGGGCATGTGGGTGCTGGCGGGATGCTGACTGATGGGAGGTGGCTCTGGAGGAGACGCTGGAGACAGGTGTGGACCTCAGCAAGATACTTCCATGGTGTGGTTGATCTGCCCCATGGCCTCGCTGCTCTCCGAGTGGGTGCAGGCACGGGGGCGGGTGCCATCCACGGAGCTGGCACTTGTCAGGGAGGCTGTGCGGGAGCGTGCCAGGCGGGTCATGCTGGCAGAGGGCACTGCACAGGCACAGAGAGAGGGCAAGGGTGCTCAGTCTCCTCTAGAGGCCAGCAGGACCTGAGCTGACATTGCCTCATGCAAGCAAAGCTGCAGGTCCCACTCCCCCGTAAAGGTGACCCCAGGCACAAACTTGCAGCATGCGTTGCTGTGACAGCACGAGCAGCTCCAGGCTGGCAGGGGACACTGGCACAGGGATGGGACACCCTGGGCACAGCCCTTGAGTGCATGACCCTGGGCATGGGTACCCCTGGCCACCAGGCTTCAGGGGTGAGCAGGGATGCAAGTTCTCCCAGTTCCCCAGGGTGTGCAGGAAGGTGACACCCCCCTCCAGTCAGGAGGCCCATCAGGCACAGCTCCTGGCTGTCAAGAGGACTCAGGTGACACACTGCCAAGACTGTGCCCACAACAAAGGACTTCCCAGAGTGCTGTTTCTCAGTCCCTGGCTCTTAGTGCCATCTCAGGCAAAGCAGAGAGAGCAGAGGGCACGAGTCTGGGAAGGGCCAGCCCCACACCTGGGCTGCTCCCAAAGGTGCCCAGGCAGCTGGAGGGCACAGGCCAGGCGGGCACCATGCAGCAGCGAGCACTGGCCAAGCAGCACCGAGTGGTACCTGTGCCTCCACTCAGCCTCCGGTCCTTCAGGTGGGTGACTGGCAGGGGCAAGCAGGAGGAGGGCAGGGAGGGTAGAGAGAGAGCATCAGCCCAGCGGGCTGCTCCATGGAGCCAGGACCTCTGCCCAGCCCCACCTGTGCACAGAGACCTGCACATGTGCACACAAACCTGCACACACAGATCTGCACACACCCACGGGCATGTGCATGGGGCCTGCAAACAGATGCATTGGTGTGGGGGCACACACAGGGGTGACAGACACACATCCACACACATGCTCATGGACCTAGACATACTTGTACTCGTGGACTTTGTACATCTGCATGCACACACAGCCCCATACACGTCAATGCACACACAGAGTCCCTGCCTACACACATATGCACACACAGAGCCCTCACACACAACTGCGTGCACACCCAGCCTGCACACTCCACACCCCTACCAACACCCGGACAGCCATCACGTACACTGCACATCCAATGCCACACACACACATGCAGCTTCATCAGGACGGGCAGGGGGTGGCAGGCTCCCTCTCTACAGCAGCTCAGCACACACACCCCCCCAGGCACACAGGCTCATGTGCACGCAGCCCCCTGCCCCCCAGCACTCACTGTAGCCCATTCCTTGCAAGAAGTACTTGAAGGCTTCAGTCAGCTTGCCAGGCTGCAGGGAGAGAGTGATGGAGCTGAGGTTGTGCCAGGTCAAGACACCCCAGCTCAGTCCCAGCCACCTCTGGCAGCCCCTGCACAAGAACCCTCTGCCCACCTCAGTCCACCCTCTGCCAGCCCTGGACAGCACCAGTGCATGTTGAGTACATCCCTGTATGTGTTTAAGGGCCGTTTGGATGTAGTGTTGGTGGATATGGTTTAGTGTGGAACTTTGTAGAGTAGGCATGATTGTTGGACTCAGTGATCCCAAGAGTCTTTTCCAACTTGAATAGTTCTATGATTCTATGTTGCAGGGCCCAGCATACCCACTTAACACTGGGGGAAATTAGGGAAGCTCACCTGTGTGACTTGGGGAAGCCCACCAGAGTCAGCCATCTGCAGAGAGAAAGCCCTGCTTAGTTTGGAAGGGTACCTTTGCCACCCACCCTGTCCCCTGGAAGGATACCACTACTAGGCCCACCCTGCTCTCCCCCTAAGCCCCCAGACCCCTGGGCAGGGCAGGCCTGGAATGGGAAGATGGGGGCACCGTGCAGCCCTAGGGAAAAGGGTAACAGCACAGCTCATGGGCAGTAGGAACCACCTCACTGCGCCCTGCCACCCCCCTACCTTCAGGAACGTGGTGTTGGTGGGATCCAACTTGGAGTTACACTCCACCTGTGGACAAGAGGGATGGTATTAGCACCCTAGGATGCCCTGAGCCTACCAGAAGTTGCCAATGGGTACCACCAGTGGCTCATGGCACCCCAGCTGGCTCATCCCAAGCCCAGCCAGCTGGAGACAGGGCACTAGGTGAGCCCTGGCCCCATCTCCTGCCACAGGACAGAAGGGATCTTCTGCCTGCCAGGCAGCATCTGAGCAAAGAGGCTGGGAAGGGGGATGGTGAGGCATCCTGCATATCCCACAGTTGTGAACAAGCACACAGGTGTGTTCATGTGAATGCACACAACTACATATGCTGGGGGATGGGTGTGCATGCAGTCACACTGTGTACAAGTGTGGCCACCTGCACAGAACCTGTCAGTTCAAGTGTGGGCAGCCACATGGATGTGTGCAGGAACATGTGTGTGCTGGCAGCTGTTTGGGTGCATGTGGCCAAGCCAGGAGTGGACCTGTGTCCCCACATATGAGTGTGCACATTGTGGCCACATCTAAGCACATGAGGAAAGGGATGTTTCCCAAGTGTGGCAACCATACATGTGCATGTGTGCCCACACAAGCCATCAGGTTTGCACATGAGCAGGCTCCTGCACATGGGAGCACACATGTGCCTGAACAGGCAGTACACAGGAGCATGACCACACATGGCACCATCCACATGCCACCCATCAGGCTCTACCCTATCACTCACCACCCCCTCTTCAGCAGGCGCATTGTCTCCAACCACCAGCATCACAGGGCAGCTACAAGTGAGAAGAGGAAGGACCACTGTCAGAGCTTGTCTTGGGTGGATTCCCCTGCACCGAGACCCCTGTGACATGCCAATGTGACGCTTACCACAGAGTCTTGGCATTGGGCACAGTCCCAGGCCGGTTGATGTCCAAGTCCCTGCGGCTGGTGGAGGAAAAGAGGGCCACTGTGAGCCCAGGGGCAGGTGCTGCCACCAATGCCACAGTGCAAGAGCTGGGTCAGGACCAGCTCCAGGAAGCAACACCCAGCCCTGCTGCCCCAGCACCCTGTGGACAGAGGACAGACCCCACAGCCATCTCTACTGTGCTGGAGTGGAGGCCACACCATGCGATGCAGCACCCCATGGGGCAGCAAGGCTCCCACCACCCTGGACACACGGGGCAGCATCTCTGCCCCTGTCCCCAGGCCTGTGACAGAGCCCCACACAGGACAGCAGGGCACGGGCACCTGCAGCCATGGGCTCTGGGACATGGCAAAGCCTTGGAACAGGTGCCACCACACCGACATCCCCAGCCAGCACCAGCTGGCAACTCTTCACCACTGCCAGTATGCACTGGAGAGTGACAGCAGCACCCAACAGGGGTCAGGGATCCCATGGCACCCTTGGGGCCACCCCCAGCACTGCAGCCCCTGGCCAAGGGGTGCTCACCTGTTGTACATGTTGAGGAAGAGCTGGAGATTGAACTGGTTCACCACACTCCCGATCTGCTGCCGGTAACTCTGCACCAGCTCTGTGTTGTTCATCAGTTCTTCCTGTGCCGCAGGGAACGGTGATCAGGGCAGGCACTGCCAGGTGCCACGGAGCACCCCACACCCCAGGCCTGCCCGTGCTGTGCCAGCCAATGGGGCAGAGTGGGGGAATGCTGGGCAATGTGGCTGGGCACAGCCAGGACACAGGCAGCACAGCCAGACAGGACACAGGCACATCTTGCCTGCTGGTTGTGGCGCAGTCCCAGAGCAGGCAGGAGGGAAACAGGCAGGGCTTGGCTAACCCCATCCCTGGGCACGGTGCAGCTCTAGCAGCACCACAGGGCCAGCAGGCAGAGCAGGGCTTATTCCAGGTGACTCACTGGGCAGTGAGACATGGGGGCACTGGGATACTCACCTGGCTGAACAGGTGGGACAGGACAGTGTCTGGCAGTGTACTGGTGAGGCCAGAAAGCTGTGGAGGGAGCACAGCCAGTTACAGCCCTGCCATGACTGGGTCCTGCCTCAGGGAGCCAGCAGGGCCCAGAGCAAGCAGGGGGGGAGCCCACCTTGGCAGCTGCCCAGTCAATCCAGCCTTTGCCATTGGGGTCGATGTTCATAAGGACCAGACCTTCGACCAGGTCAGGGAAGATGAGCTGCAGTGAGCAGGAGGGGTGATGCTCAGAGGGACCCAAGGCAGCCCCCGCCAGCACCACTACCCACTGCACAGGGCCCTGTCCTGGGAGTGAGGGGACTCCTGTGGCAAGACTGTCCAGCCACCATGACCAATGGCATTGCCATTCTGGCCCTCTGCCCTCCAGGAGCCTTGAGAGTGGCACAGTCTGTCAAGGGGCTGTCAGCTCTTGCTCTTCCCCATGCCTCCAGCTGACAACAGGTACAACTCAGGGTCAGCCTATCTCAGCCCCAGGCTCACCGCAAACTTGGCCAGCACGTAGGCTCCTGCCCCAACACCGATCCCGATCACATACTTGAACCTGGAAAGCAGAGAGGGGTGCTTGGTGGGCAGTGGGCCCCACCACCCACAGCATGGGCACAAGAAGACATGCAAGGACAACACCCCCAGCCTCAAACCTTTGCTCCCTGCTCATCTCCCTGCCCAGCACCCTCAGCCATGGAAGAGAGGCTGACTCACCCAAAGTGCTGCACCACACTGGGTAACATGGCAGCCAGCTGGTCCATGGATGGGTACTGGTACCTGCAGCATAAGAAGGCACAGGACAGTGGTGATGGGAAGGCTGGGACAGAGCAGCTGGGCTGCCCAAAGCAGGCAGGGAAATGCCACCCACCCACAAACCACCCCACTGCCCACCCTGCACCACTTGGCTGCCATAGGCTTTGACATGGCTCACAGAGACCCTCAGGCAGGGTACATCTGCCCAGGCAGCAACAACCCAGCAGGCAGGGAGGGAGCTGACATCCCAGTGGGCACAGCAAGCCCCTGACACTAGCACCTACCCCTGAGGGAACTGCGAGGCTCCTGCCTGCTGGCCCGGCGCATCCACGTGGCACACCACAAAGTGCTTTGTGATCTCCTGCATGTCGTCATAGTTGAAGAAGGTGTTGAAGCACAGCTTGTCTGTCAAAAAGCATGCAAGGATCAGAGAACAAATATTGGCACAGAGGCCTGGTGGACCAGGGGAGCAAGGAGAGATCACCTGCCCTTCAACCTGAAGGTGATATGCCACCAAAGCCCTCCCAATCCCCTTCCCTCCAGGCTCCTCATCCCCACAACCACTGCTAGCAGGGGCTGCATCTCTGCTGGCATTAGAAGGCATGGAGATGGGTGAACACAGCCAGGAGGATGAGAAGAGTTTGAGGTAAGCCTCATCTGCTGGGAAGGGTGGGACTGGGGGATGCAAAACCCAGATGCGCAGGACCAGCCAGCAGGATTAGCAGCCCAGGGTACTATTAGCCCTATTCAAAATTCCCAGAAAGGGCTCAAGCAAACACAAGATTTGAGAAACTGCTGCAAATGGAAACAGTCAAACGGCCTCAGCACTGTGCGGGCAAACCATTCATTTTAAAGCAGAAGGCTTTGCTGGGGCTTGGAGGGTGTCCCAGTGCCAGTGCTGGGACATCACTGCCAGAAGCTAAGGGAGGCAAGCTGGAAGGTCCATCACAACCAGCATGATGCATCCCTGGACAGCAGCGCTGCTGTGATGGTGAGGCAGCTCCCAAAGCACTGTGACTCAGCCTCCAAGCCAGCAGAGGCGGGGAAGCTCCCCCCTTGGCACCCACAATCCTCCTCCGCTCCCGCAGGACCAGCCAGCAGGATTAGCAGCCCAGGGTACTATTAGCCCTATTCAAAATTCCCAGAAAGGGCTCAAGCAAACACAAGATTTGAGAAACTGCTGCAAATGGAAACAGTCAAACGGCCTCAGCACTGTGCGGGCAAACCATTCATTTTAAAGCAGAAGGCTTTGCTGGGGCTTGGAGGGTGTCCCAGTGCCAGTGCTGGGACATCACTGCCAGAAGCTAAGGGAGGCAAGCTGGAAGGTCCATCACAACCAGCATGATGCATCCCTGGACAGCAGCGCTGCTGTGATGGTGAGGCAGCTCCCAAAGCACTGTGACTCAGCCTCAGAGCCAGCAGAGGCAGGGAAGCTCCTCCCTGCTCACCAGCACTCCTGCTCGGCTCGGGGCAGGGCTCTGGGGTGCGGGTCCAAGGCTTCAGGCTGACAGAGCATGCAACATCCCCACATCCAGATCCCTAGCTTGGGTCCTCCTTCCCCACCCCTGGGGTTCTTCCTTCCCTGTTATTCCCTGTCCTCTCCAGCCCCCATCAGGCCCATACTCTGAATACCAACAGGCTGGTGCTGGAAGCAAGGACTGACCCTCCATCCCTTCTCTGCCTGGCACAGGTGGGCAGCCAGCCAGCACAAGGGTGGCCAAGCACTCCTGTCTGTGCCCAGCCCAGGCTTTGGACTCATCAGATGAGAATCCTAACTCTCCTGTTGCTTCCAGATGCTTGAGGAGACCCAGCACAGCCTGGAGACTGCCCACAGGAGGAGGAAAAGGAGGTGAGTCAGGGGCTTTGGCCAATGTCCTGGGCAGCCCACAGCAGCCCCAGGCTTGCTGCGACCTGACCCCACCACCATGGCTCAGGGACCAGCACTCACGGTTGAGGCCCACATCGTGGTATGTCAGGATGGCCGGGCGATTCCCCTTGGGTGAGCCCCGGATAACCACATGCAGCAGCCCGTAGGGGGTCTCAATGTCATGTTCCTGGGGGAACAGGAAAGATGGGGTGATACCTGCATGCCCAATACATCCTCTCCTGCCCCACCATCCCACTCCTCACCACTGCTTAACTGGGGCAGCTGGGTCCCAAGGGAGCAAAAAGGAAACAGGAATAGCCATCCCAGGAAAAGCCCCAGCTCTGGGTATTCTGTTGGTGGCAGAAGGCAGAACAAACCAGAGAGAAATGCTCCCAGCCTCCACCTACCTCCCTGGGAAGGAATGACTTAGGACCGGATATTAGGATTTTGGATTGGATGGGTGTATCATGGGATGGGATCAAGGGATAGAGGTTTGGGATGGGATAAAATGGGATTATCTAAGAGGGCTTGGGAAAGGAGAATCATGGGACAGAAGAGGTAGACCAAAGGATGAGACAGGAAATCCTCAAAGGCCTGAGACTGAGGGATTTTTGGAAGCCAGGTGGGGGATCACAGCATGGCCTAGTTAGCCTGGATTCACTGTGCCTGGGACAAACAAGCAGAGATCAGACCCCAGACACACCCCAGAAAATCCTACAGCCTAATCCCAACATGAATGCTAAAGTTATTTTCAAAGTCCTTGGTCCAAAATGGCTGTACACCCATACAGAGACCAGGACTGCCTCGTGCCTCAATTTCTTTGGCTGGGAGGGCTCCAGTCCCATTTTCACAGCCAACAAGGAAAACTGAGCCTGTGAGCCCAGGGGCTGGCCAAGGCATCACCTGGGGACAAGGGACCAGGGTTTCCCTCCAGACACCCATGCCTGCCAGCCAGCACACTGGCAGTAACCTCAAAGCTGGGATCTGGCAGGGTCCCCAGCCAGCACGGTCTTCACTGGGGTACTGGCATCCCCATGGATGGGCTGGCAGGAGGGGAGCAGGTATGTGGATGCTCCCATGGGTTACAAGCCACCAAGGATTCTGAAGGGCACAGGCCTCAGGTGGAAGGCACTGCCTGAGGACAGGGTCACCTCAATGCAGTGCCTCTCTGAGTGCCTCTCACTGAGATCTGTTGTCCCCAGGGGGACACTGTGCCCAAGGGCAGCTCAAGGGCTCTATGGAGAAAATTATCAGGTCCCCAAGAGTACCTCGACCCTAGCCCTCATCCAAAGTTGTCCCTCCATTCCCTGGAGCTCCATTAGGCAGCAAGGAATGAGTGGGGACACCCCCCCCCAACAACTGATGGGGAAACTGAGGCAGGGGATAGGCCCAGCCCAAGGTGACAGATCAGTAGGCACCCGTGTGGTCTGATCCTGGGCACAGGGCTGTCTCTTCACTATCCCCATGGTCCCCACTATAGCCTCAACAGCTCAGCCTGCAATCCCACCCCAAAAATCACTCGTCCAAGGTGAGGGGGCTCCTTTCATAGCACTGCTCGCCCCCCCACCCCAAGGAGGGCACAGCCTTCATTCCTGCCTGCGCTGCAGCCTCTGCAGCATAGCTGCTGCCACAGCCCTGCCCTTTACCGCAGGGATGCTTGCTGGTAGGGATGCAGGCGGGGGGGCGGTACTCACAACTGGTAGCCCCCGTGAGGAGGGGCGTGGGGGTCGCAGCACCCATAGATGCCTGAGAGAGCCCAGCCCTCCCCACTGCAGTGCCCCTACCCCGCTCCCCCATCTCTCCCCGCCCATCGGGTGTTGCCATCACTGCAGAGGCTAGAGAGCATCCGAGGGATGGATGGCTCGGAAACAGCAAGAGAAATTTCTTCCACTGCAGCCCGTTGGTGTCGAAGGGGCAACATCCTCCCCATCCCTAGCTCCTCCCCTCCCCCCGCCGCGCCTGTTCCCCCTCGGCCTCGGCGCAACATCTCGACGGAGCTGGGGAGGACACGCTCAAGGACAACGCGTCCCCAAAACTCGCGCAGCACGTCAGGGATGCGGCAGTGGAGCTGCGGGAAAGGAGGGACTCCCAGCAGCACAGCCCCCCACCACGGCAAACCCACCCGGGGGGCGAAAGTCCAGGCTGAAAGAGCCTGGGGGTTCTGGGGAAAAGCTGCTTAGGGAGCGCGGGCAGCAAGCAGGCCGGTGGTACCTACCCCATCCCAGCACTCCGGCATGGCGAGGGACCGGAGCAGAAGGATGCGCGGGCGGGAGCGGGTACCTGGATCCACAGCACCTCCCTAGGACACAGCC